GAAAGAGCATTTGGGATAGCACTGGATTTATTATGGGATGTTTAGGGCTGGACAAAGGGAAGGATTTAGGAGATGAGGGCAGGAACAAGTGTGGGAAATAGAGGGATAAGGGAATAAAAGGGTTTATTTGCATGCAAGCAGAAACTAGGCAGTATGCAGACCTGGGGGCATGACCAAGCCAGAGTAATCAGACCTGGGAACATGAAGCTGTAGCAGCCTCGCTCTAGTTATCCAAGCCGGCATGATGTATTTTCCTCTAACAGTAGTCTATGGTCTGGTTTAGGTTATTTCCAAGTAATCCAAGTTACTAGATTTGTTTTATAATGTTATAAAGCAGCCTGTCAGTATTTCATGGGGAGGAATCCAGTAAGGAACAAATTCTCAAAGAATTATTGAATTTCAGCTTGCTCATCTACTCAGTTTGCCAAACTGATCTGTTAGCTTCTTGAGGACAATTCAAACCTTAATCACTGTACGAACTCAGAGGAAAAACATGACTTCACAGATCTGCTGGCATAAATAGCTTTTACTTATTCTGCTGAACAGTTAGCACAAAAATTCACCACTGAATAGTTCCTTTTGATTGCTGCTTCTTATGCTGACTCTCACACTTAAGTTTATTAGACTCATAGAATGGTTTGGGCTGTAAAGGGCCTTAAAGATCATCTAGTTCCAACCTGCCCGGACACGTTCCTCTAGATCAGGTTGCTTAAAGCCCCATCCAACCTGGCCTTGCACACATCCAGGGAGGGGGCATGCACAACCTGCTCCAGTGCCTCACCACCTTCATAGTACAGAATTTCTTCCTTATACCTAATCTAAACCTATCCTCTCCTAGTTTAAATCCATTACCCCTTGTCCTACCACTACATGCCTTTGTAAAAAGTCCCTCTCCAGCTTTCTCGTACACCCCCTGTACGAACTGGAAGGCTGCGATAAGGTCTCTCCGGAGCCTTCTCTTCTCCATGCTGAACAGCCCCAACTCTCTCATCCTGTCTTCACAGGAGAGGTGTTCCAGCCCTCTGATCATCTTTGTGGCCTTCTGGACTCACCCCAACAGCTCCATGTCCTTCTTCTGTTCGGGGCCCCAGAGCTGGACACAGGACTCCAGGTGGGGTCTCACAAGAGTGGAGGGGCAGAACACCCTCCCTCGACCTGCTGGCCATGCTTCTTTTGATGCAGCCCAGGATATGGTTGGCAAGGAAACCCTAGACTACCTTGGCTGTGAAAAGTGAACATCCCTTCAAATAAAAGGAGTGAGCTCATGAATCCATAACTTCAGGAAGTATTCACTGGGTCAAGGATCAAAGGTTATCACCTTACCTCTCATATTCATCTACAGCTTTAGAAAGCTGAACAAAAAAATCATCCAGTCCTGTTCCGAGCACAGCAGAAACACCAACCACCTATAAAAGAAAACCATATACCAGAACTGAAGAGTAACTGAACCAAGTTTTTAGGTAACTGATGGATGATCAGAGCTGGAAAGACTAAGCAGTGTCTTTATAAAAAAAAACCCAAAACACTAAACTAAAAAAATAGGGGAATATAATGATATCCATTTAATTATCACAGTGGCATAAGAGTATGCAGTAATACTTCTGCTTCTGTCATTCCTACTTTCAACCTCTTTCTCCACCTGCTGCTAATGTTTCCTACCTCCAGTTTTTGGTTGGTTTTTTTTTGTTTGGTTGGTTTTTTTTCTCCTTCCTTCCTCTCTCTCTAAAATAGTCAGACAACACAATGCCTACACATAATGAACAAGATGGACAATTCAAAAGAAAGAGCAAGTCTTTCTTCTGTCTGCTTGGTTATTGTTAATAATCCAAGTTCTCATTCTGAACCTAGTATTATAAGTGCTTAGTATGACTGCTGCAGTATCAGTTCACTAGAATTAAAGAGTAAAATAGACTGCAAGAACTGAGCTTTTGCCTCTGAAGTTCTGTTTAATACTTTGTATTTAGCTGAAGCACGTTTTAAAAGGTACCCAATTCAACCCCCAGAACAGCAAGAGATGGAGAATTTAATCAGTTACTATGGCAATACATTCAAAATGCACATCTGGTTTCTAATTTGAACTTGTCTGTCATTACACTTCTGGCTATTTATCCTGCTTTTATTAAATCACTGATCTAAAAATACCTTTAATTAAGACTATTACTAGCCAGTACTTGGTGACCCTTAAGAATCTTGTATCCTCTAATGGAAATTCCCCCTCTTTTCCATAAGTGAGAAGTCTTAACTACTCGCTTTCAAATGTAAGGCTTTTTCCAACACAGCCTTGCATTTTATCACTAATACAGTAAATATGCAGACAATCAAGCATTCCATGGGATTTTAAGCACTAGTCTAGGCACTGTGCTGATATATATTAGTATTTATACTTTCATTGTGCTTAAGTACAAGCTGCCTTCTAATCTATAATCGTCTGCATATGTCCTGCTCTCCAGTCTAATATTCTAATAGATAGGAAATGCACACAAACAATTGATTAGCAAATAAGGGAAGTACTTTAGTCCTGTATATGGCACTGCTACAATCCATTTTGAAATACCGTATATTGTTCCCCATAAGGCACAGAGAATATTTTTGTTTTCGCTAAATGATCATTATCTATATGAATGGAATTACTTTTTTGTTTTCATTGCCTTTCTTGTAACATCCATAAGGCCACTAGCTTGCTTTTTCTTAAGTAAAAGCTGATGAAAAACACAATTAGCTGAACCCTTTTAAGCACAGACTATGGGATTATTAACATCCTTTGATGTACAGTGTTTTCAGAGAAACTGAATGGATTTGTCCTGTCAAAACCTCGTCAGTGGAAAAAAACCCACTTTTTCTTGCCTTAGCAAAAATACAGGATTTTGTTCGTTTGTTTTTGAGATTCTTTCCCTTCTTCCTACACAGTAAATTGCCCAACTGTACCTGACGCTTCCAGAACAGGAAAATTATCTCAGATGGGAGACACTGTAACACAGAACCTTACCTCTTACCAGTCCATCTTAGCCGCCTTCTAATGATTACTCATAATTCACTATTAAATGATTCAGGCTGCCACTCAGTGTGACAAGCAACTAAAGTTACTTTATGTTCAAACCAGCAAATCCTCGCCCCCAATGCAAGGTTCATCAGCAGATTTCAGTTCAAAGGGGCAGTGTAAAGCCCTTTTACAGAAGGACAGAATGGTTGAGATTGGAAGATACCCCTGGAAATCATCTAGTCCACCTTCCCCTGCTCAAAAAGCAGGATTAACTAGAACAGGTTGCTCAAGATCTTGTCTGAGCATATTTTGAGTATCTCCAAGGACGCAGACTCCACAATTTCTCTAGATCATCTGTTCCAGTGCTCAACCAGTAAAATTACAGCAATTCTTTTTTTCCCTCTTCTGTTTAAACATAGTTTCCTGTATTTCACTTCATGTCTGCTGCCTCTTGTCCTTTCACTGGGCACCACTGAAAAGAGCCTTCCTCTGTCTTTCTTACATCCTCCCATCAGGTATTTTTACATAACAATAATATCCTCCTTGAGCTTTCTCTTCTCCAGGTTTTTATAAGAGGCAGTGAACAAATGAAGATTCTTACCTTAAGTGAACTGTAAAATTCATCCAACACTAAACTCATAGAACGAGTCAGGTTACTGACATAAGATGTCTCTTGATTCAGGGCATCCTGAAAAGTCTCAAAGTCCTGCATCCATTCAACTGCAAAACTGTGGTCAATTATGTCAGTCTGGAAGGAGAAGAGAAAATTTTCAGAAGTAATAATGAATTCTTAGACTTAGGCTGTTAAGTGGACAAATAAAAACTTTCCATTTTAAACTTACTTTCAAAACACTGATCTTTTCAAAATACTCAGCCGTGGTCTGAAGTTTTCCAAGCTCTGCTTTTATCAAACCAGCTGCTTGAATACAGGAAGAAAAGACAAACAACCACTATCCCAGTTTTAAGAAGGCACATTTAGGGAAACAATTGCAAGTCTAAAGGCTTCTATGGTTTACTGGAAAGGGGCTTCCAAAAATTGCATACTCTACAAGAAAGTTTAAGTTGTAAATATCAGATCGTATGATTAAGGCCAGACAAGAACAGTCCTCACTGAAGATCTCATTCTTTCTTGATTGGCCTGGGGGCCAGCAGGAAGAGGGAGCAATTTTCACTTTGGGTAACAGCCTACAGGATCTTTACAAGAAGTGAGCTATGCTCTGACCTGAAGAAGTTAGAATCTAAACTCAGTGCAAGACAATGGACACAAACAGGTGAGATGGTTCCAGAATTTTACATGGATTAGTATGCAAACAGTCTATTAAAGAGTTTTATAAACATATCTTGCCACATGTGTATCCACTATTATCACAATATAGAGGTGTCTAAAACTCTGATATATTTAATTTCCCAGTGTGACAGTGTGCTTCCCCCTGTAACCAAGGTGATGGAATCAACTAACCACAAAGCACAAACAATGCTGCTATTACGTCCCTTGCACAGCCCTACCTATCTGGACATTAGTAGGAACGAACAGTTAAGTTTCCAATCATTAAGTATTAAGCAATGGTAAATAGGAATAACGTTGTTAGCTAACCACAGATGTATTCATGGTACTTATATATTGTAACCACAGACGTATTCAGGGTACTTACATTGTGAAAACTAACTGAAGAATACATCTCCCACCAGAGAAGTCAGTTTTTAATTAAAACTAGGAGTTGCCTAGAACCGGTCAAGGCGACCCTGCTGCAGGGACAGGAGGCAGAAGGAGACTGAGCTTGCGCAGAAACAGGGGTCAATCAACAGACACCGTGATGAAGAGGATAAGCCTTCATCTTGGGACCCCTGACGACCACCACTAGGAGGCACTGCGC